ACATGATTAAATCTAAATCTTATATATAAAACACATGTCTTGAGAAAAAACAATTATTTATAAAGAAAAGTGAACATGAATAAACAATTAAAAATACTAATCAAACAATTAAAAGTAGAAAATAAAAATTAAAAAAAAATACCAGTTAAACAGTAGTGCAATATTTATGATTAACAATTGAATATGAAAAAATTGAGATATTCAGAGATCCAGAACTCATCTCTTTAGAAAAGACAATATGATGCTTTGTACTAGTCAGAGGCAAGAAAAAGAGATGAGTGATAGGGGAAAAAATGTATGGAAGGGATATCTAGGAGGTATTAGGAAGGGAATAACGACTGAAGTATGGGAAGATACATGTCAGATAACGACTTTGTTTGCTTATTCAAATCTTGAGATTGTTTTTTAATGTGCACCATCCCTGATATCAATACCGTTTGTTATAAGCTGTTTCTGTATCCAAAATTTTTACTTCCTCCCAATCAAAGTTATAATTAAATTTGATGTGATAGTCTGACTATCTCACTTTTTTGTTAATATCAGTAGAATGCTTTTGTATGTACTTTTGTATGTAATCGTCTTTTCGTTTGGCCGATGTAACTCGCATCGCAATCCAGATATAAAATTTTGTACACTACATCTTGCGATAATGGATCCAAACAATCTTTACTTACTTTAATGAACTTATTCAAGATGTTTAGAATCGAAAAAGTCATTTTTAAATTGATCGTTGAGGCAATCGATAAAAAACCTTCAGAAACCAATCTAATATACAGAACCGTGAAGTATTTGTTTTTAATGTTTACAATTTTAGTGGAATCGTAGATTTATGAAAATGAAATTTAATTCTAATAGCTGCAAAAATAAACGGAAGTGGATAACTATTCTCTAACAAGATATGAATAGACTCTATTATGTTTTTCTGATGGTAACGTGGATGACAAAAGAATTATTTTTTCAAACACTATTCCTCTTTTGTGCAAATAGGATGATGTGAAAATTCAAATATCTTGCCGAAAATGTAGGTTTACGATACTGGTAAAAAATAATTTTATTATTATCTAAGATTAAAGTAACATCCAAAAAACTAATAGAATTACTAACTTTCGTAGTAAACTGCAATTTTGTATGTAACAAGTTAAACACATCGAAATATCATTTAAAATTTCACATGAAGCAGCCAGAATATCATCTATAATATATCTATAATAAATCGATAACCGTATTGAAAGTTTCTGCTTGTTTTTCCAGATCTTTTAAAACAATGTTCGGTAAAATCGGGGACAACGGGGATCCTATCGGCGTCCCAAAATTTGTTTATAGAAAATCCCATTAAACGAAAAGAATAGGGATTCAAGAATCATCCGAATTGCAATTAAAAATTTTTCTTTCGGAATACTTGTATTACGACCAATATAATTACCGTCTAAATTATTTTATATCACGTTAGTGTTTTTCAAATAAATCGTTGTTTTTTTTAAAATTGTATTAGTTTCTACATTGAGAATGATCTCATTAGGGTCAAAATATATGTCATAATAAATTTTTGTTTCATAATTACTAAGTTTTGCTCATAGCCTTATATACTTACTATTAATTTTTTCAAATTATTTGAGCTTTTTCTTACTTTTTTTATAATTTACTTTATTATAATTGATTATGTTATTTGAATATTATGTTGAATATTATCAAAATTGATATTCAACATTTCTTATATAGTATCAAAATGATACAATTTATGAATAATAAGTGAAAAAATAACATAAAATAATGTATTAATTTAATATGTCATAAATGTTAATTTTAGTATAATATAGTATAATACGATTGCTTACAAATTGTTTTAATGCTATGTTTTTGCGTTAATTCCTTTACATAATATTTATGTTATTTTCTAGCATATTCATTTTGTGTTAAATTACACAAAATTTCAGTGAACCGTTTAAAACATATGAATTGTATTAAATTCAATATAAATTCTTCAACTGTGCATGTAATAAATATTAAATGTGAAAAATGTTTGAAAATGCAATAATACAATTAAAAAGTTATAATTTCTTTGACATTTAATTGTTAATGTAATGTTATTAAAAATACATATTATATATCAGATTGTTTAAATATGATTAATAAAAATCAGTTATTAGTAAAAGTCATAAATTTTTTTATTTTACTAAAATAATTTTAAAAATTAGGAAAGAGGCACAGTTCGTTTTCAAAATAGAAAGATTATATATACAATGCAATATGTTTTGCGTGCAAATTTTCCAATAGTTTGTCTTAATGTCCTAATCCTAACGTGCCAAAATTCTTATGATAGTTAAATTTATAGTTAAAGTAGTAAATGGTATTGGATGCATTATATATTGTGATGAATTGTTATTCTTTTTGTAGTTACGACTCAAATCGCTAACTATTCAAAAGTTTGTGTATAAATTCATAGAATTTTTTTTATTGTAGAACGGCAGCTGCAAATTACTCACGGTTTGCAACTTCACGTCTATACACGATTGATGTTACGAATTCCACCCTGTGTGTATGACGGGCATTTGTTTTTCTTTGCACCTGCAGTCGATATTAATTTTTGGTAACCCGTGGCGAATTTTTTTCAGCTACAAATCACATTTTTTCATGCTACAAATCGCGACATTTCATTCTGTTTGTAGGATGACA